CCTGCTGCCGGGACTGATCCCAGCGATCGCTCCCCCCAGAGCCGCCTCCCAGCTGCTCCTGGGTCCTAGCGATCAACCCATCGCGCTGCAGCCCCCCTGCCCCAGACCCTGTCCCCTGGGGTCCCACCACCCCTGGGCACAGGCAGCTTCTCCCCGCATTAGGCGGCATCGTGCATAGAAGCCACTGCGTCAGTGACTAGATAAAGGAGACGTCCATATCGCGGGGAGGGGAGAAAAGGGGGCTTCTATGGAGACTGGGGATTGTTCCTGTCTACATGGACACAGGGATGATGGGGGTCCTGGTCCTGGAGAGGCTGCCCATAGCTTGGAGCTGCAGGCGACATGCTTCTTGATGACACTCCGTGTGTGACCGCCCTGGTAACAGTCTGGTACAGGAAGCACTTGGTCAGAGCTGGTCTCTTGTCTGCGCACCAAGCTCCCTGGCTACCAGCCCTGGGCCGGAGCTACCAGCTCTGCTCCCCTAGATCAGGTCATGGAGCTGCCAGTGCTTTGCCACCAGGTTCCTGGAGTTATTTGTAGGGCCGGATTAAGCCATCCCTGGGCCCAAACCCCCTCATGTCCCCCCACCCCAGGGGCAGGCACCAAAGGAACTTTTACCCAGAAAATGTAGGCGCTGGGTGAGTTTAGGAGCCTAGACAATTTGACAGGAGTTGTGGGAATAGCTATGGAGTCAAAACTTGGGACTTAGGCCCTGAAACCCAAATTTAGGCATCTAAGTACCTTTGTGAATCTTGCCCAGGATCTCTATAGGGTGGGCATAACGTGTAGTTGTGCACCTGGCTTCTTCAGCTCTTCATAAGAATGTCAGCATCCTCCGTCCTTCTCAAAACACTTCTCAGCGCTGTCAGCACACCGGCACGCTCTTGCACTGAGCAGCCGCTGATATCACAGGGCTGTCTTAAGCAGATATGCTTATAATATTTCCTCCCTTGATGTCTGATCAGCTCACCTGTCAGGTGAGTAAAGAGGGAGCGACCTGCCGGGTGGTTTGCCTACAATGAAAACATCCTATACAGCTTCAGAAACAAAGTACAGAGCATATCTAGTAACTGCAGTCACAGCCTACTTCTGGGTGTTTCTGGGCCAGGTGATGGGCCCTGCGCTGTGCATGTGGGCTGAGATACAACATCACAACGTGTTAAGTGAGCTGAAAATATTTTTATTACAGCCTCTCAAGCTGTGTTCTCACACCTATGCAGATATCGCAGCCATTAATATTACCATGAAAATGTCAGAGACAATGCTGTGTTTGTGAGCTAAATTCCCCAGGGAGCACATAGTAACAGATAAGCTTTATATGACATGTGATTAGTGAGCAGCTAGTGGCTGAGATCAAAGAGGAATTTCACAGTCAGCACCAAAAATGTGGATTGATTGGTTAATTCTATTGGGACAAGAATTTCTATACATCGCTTATAGAGAGTATCCCTATACAGCCAGGCCAACACCCTCTGTGCGCACAGCTGGATCTACCATGAGAACACTATCCGGCCTTCATTCTCCTGCTCATAACAGATGCCCAGACCAGCGGAGGGCAGAGAGAAGAGGCGAGATCATCTTAAATTTCAACCTTAAACCATTTATTGAAATTTTGTCAGGCCAAAATTGAGACCTGGGAAATATCGTAATGACTTTTCCACACAGGGCAACACTCAGGAAAATTAAGATGAGTGCCCCACTGCTTTGCTCCTTCTCTTTGAAAAATCAAATGTGGGTTACACTTGGACTATACAAAATTTTTTAAGTGTTCCGGACACATCAAAGGTCTGATGAATAATAGCGTTTTTTGGGAAGGACTCTTGCAATCTGCTATGGTTGCCAAGACTACTATAGTCATAACTAAGGTGACTTTACTTCTGAACGAGATCATCCACACAGGGGTTTACGGCGCATTAACTTCACACCTTTAGCATCACACCATGTAGACAAGCCCTGAAGAAGGGAAATTAAAGGGCTTGAAGCCTTGGTTAATTTCTTTAGTTTAAAATTTGTTTTTTTTTTATTTCCATGACATCCACATGAACAGGGTGGGGGGCGGGGGGGTCACAGTCATTCAGATGCAAATATGTCTGCTCAGGAAAGAATAATAGAATATCAGAGTTGGAAGGGACCTCAGGAGGTCATTTAGTCCAACCTCCTGCTCAAAGCAGGACCAATCCCCAGCTAGATTTTTGCCCCCAACGGCCCCCTCAAGGATTTAACTCACAACCCTGGGTTTAGGAGGCCAATGCTCAAACCACTGAGCTATCCCAGAGAAGTGTTCACTACACAACCAGCATCAGAGAAATCAGTCAGCCTTGAAGTCACATGATCCCAAAGAATAAACTGGGTAAAAAGAACAAAAATTTAGCATTAAAAACTCAAGCTGCCGTCTGCCATACAAACAGGAAGTGTTACACTAGAAACACTGTGAGAGGTGACTGCTGAAGCTACTAGCAACTAATAATATTTCCAAAGATTATTTGCTATGAAAATAGAAATGAATGAACACACGGACATCCATCTGCACCGTGTTAATGAAGGGAAATGATGAAGTGCTAAGAGTCATCAAAATAGCATTTTAAAAAGTAACCAATTTAAAGGAGTGAAACTCTATGGACAGTGGAGTACCAAAAACCCCAGTCCGACTCAGGCAATCAGCACACCAGGTAAGACAAATTTGTGAAGTGCTCAGAGGTGTTATGCAGACAGATACATTGATACGGGATTCTCTTTCACACTAAAATCATGTATGACTATTGCAATTTTTGGCAGTGGGGGGATGTAAAATATTTTACTGGATCAAGTCTCCTTTCGCTGCTCAATACTTCATGTCTTGTCTTGGCATTGGGATGACGTGCTTTTAAGAACACACGCCTGCACACCAGCAGACCCTGTTCCAGTTCCCTGTTCCTTCCATTCACTGGGTTGCCCTTTGATTCGCTGCAAAGTTCTTTGTTCCACTTAAGTCTCTTGAAGCTGGTTGAAGCAGTTTCTGCAGCCCACTGGGAGACAAAGGCAACATCTCATGGTTAGTCCTGGCCATTTGCTGAGGATTTCTTATCTGTGTATTGCCCATCTTTCTGGGGAGTGTCCTGATCACCCGATTATTGAAACCCAACATCTGCAACCAGTAAACCTCTCCACTGTACTCAGAGTATGTAGTATTCATAGACTATTACAGGCAGCTTCAAATCCATCATGCTCTTCCTTTTGCTTTGGCCTCTTTATTTCCCTTGCTCTCTTACTCCTCTAACTTGGGGGAGTTAGTCCCCATTTCTCCTTCTACTCCATCCCCTTTCACTACAGGCTCCTGCTCCTTCCCCCCAACGAGGAACTTCACACAAGTTCTTCCCCTGCACAGTTCCCACCCCACCATTAGGGTCCTTCACTGAAACTCCTCCCTCCTCCATACACAAGCCACACCCACTCAATTAGGCCCCTCCCCCAACCAGTCCCTTCCCTCTATTAAACCCCTCCACCTCCCTATACAAGCTCCACCCCCCCTCTGCTTTAAACCCCTTCCCCTCCAGTAGACCCCTCCCCCACTATCCTCATCCCCTCTGGCTGTGGAGAGAGATTCCCCCTGGATACCTCCCAGGCCAGTGAAATGGGGGCTAGATAATCCAGCTCCCCATTGCAGGCACCAGATAGACTACAAGGTTAGGGGCACAGAACATCTCCCACCTGCTTCCACTTGTGAGATACTCGGGAGAGCTGGGTACTCAGCCAGCTTCGCCCCAACACCATGTGGGGGAACCTGCTGTCACCCGCGGAGGTGGGCCAACCTATATTGCACCCTGGTCCCACAGTCCACTGGAGATATAAGTTGGAAGCTCCTTCATGGAGTTGTTAGCATGGATGTGATGCTGATATGGTTTACGGAGTCCCTCCGGTTGTTCTTTCTGTGGCAAGGAGATCCTGCTGCACGAGTATTTGCAGCCGGCCTGGTTGCAGTCCCTTTTCCATCTACTCCAGAACCTCCTGCCAAGGTCCCAACTGCACTTTCCCCCACACCTCTTCATTTGTTCACCCCCTATCCTTGGGGTCCTTCTCCTTGCCCTGGCTAAGATGGCCATCTATCCATTGAGGATAAGAAGGTTGGGCAGGGGTGGGTGTTCTTTGTGACTGTGGGGCTGACATACGTTTACTTGTCTGTTCCTGTCTCCAGGCAGAGTTCCTCTGGATGGCATCCACCAGCTCCCTGGACTCTTTCAAAGACCAATGGGCACTCTCTGGACTTCCCTGCTCGGCAGCCCTCTCTGGATCTCTGATTCTGAACCTTGTACCCACACGCTCTTCCTGTTTTCTCATTTGTTGACCTCTCCCCAGACTCAGGGAATCCCTCTGTCATCGTCCCCTCCCCGCTGCCCTGTAGAAGGGTGTGGTGGATGGATCCCCTTTGGGGGGACCTGCCTTGGACACAGGCCTGAAGCCAAGTGTGGGGGGACCTGCAGCCACCTGCGGTGGAAGGGGAGCCCTGGCAGGCCAGCCTCCACTGCACCCTGATCCCGCAGCCCACGGGTTATATGACTCCTTCAGCAGGGACATGGTTCACAGAGTGCCCTAATGCCTGCTCCATAGGCGGAGAGAGGGAGACCCTAATACTTCGGGCTGTGACCCCCAGACGTCTTCACCAGCCCCTCCCACCACCAGCTCCTTGGTTCTCATGGCCCCACAACACCCTCATTGGTCTGACCCACCGCCCGGCACCAGGCCCGGGTCAGGCAGCTCCGCAAGGCTGGGACTGCAGGGGCTGCTTCTGACCTCCACCCCGCAGGCTCCAGGGCGGCCTCTGACCTCCACCCCGCAGGCTCCAGGGCTACTTCTGACCTCCACCCCGCCCCCCACTAAGTCCCTCCCCCCCGCTCATGGGCTCAGTGGCTCCGCCCACTCAGCTGAGGGCGGGGCTTACGCCGGCCCCGCCCCAAGAACTTCGGCCCCGCACCCTTTGACCATAGAGACAAGAGGGAGGCAGGAACCAGAGCGTCATATCCCTCCCGCCAAGAGGCCATAGAGAAAAGGGAGATAGCGCGTCCCATCCACTCATTTCCTGTCTTTTTTTAAACTCCATAGAGAGGCGCGGGGTGCGGATAGAGCGTCCTGCAGGCACTGCAGATCGGGGGAGGGCGAGAGAATCGCACCATAGAGTATCGAGTCAATGAGGCTAGATCGCCTCGCAGGGCCTGCCGCGCAAAGAACTTTTCACCATAGAGCAAGCACTTCCGGTCAAATGTCCTTATACCATAGAGAGTGAGAGAGGGGATGAGCGTCTCGCATGCATTTCCGGTCACATGCCATTATACTATAGTGTTGGGGGATGGGGCGGGGATAGAGCGTCCGGCGGGCACTTCCGCTCAAAAGACCTTTTCCCCATAGAGTGGCGGAAGAGTGTCTCACTGCCACTTCCGGTCCCATGACCACATACCAGCATGGGGGAGCCCGCCTGTGGGGGATAGATTGTCTCGCAGCCACTTCCGGTGAAGAAAAAAAAAATCAAAAAAAACCTCGCACACCATAGAGAGTAGTGGGCGGGGAGGGTAGAGCGTCCTTCGCAACACTGGGCTGGCTGGGGCAGCTGTCAGCTGGGTCCGGGGGAGCAGGAGGCTCCGGGGGCTCAGAGCCCTGAGGGGGACAGGGCCCTAGTGGGGGGAGGGGCTCAGGGCCCTGAGGGGGGGCAGGAGCTGGGGGGAGGAGAAGGAAGAAGCTCAGGACCCTGCTGGTGTCTGGGCTAGAGGGGGGCCTAGGATAAGTGGTAGGGCTCAGGTTCCAGTGGGGGGCTCAGGATCCTGGAGGGGGGCTCAGAGCAGGGCTGGGGGCTCAGGGCAGGGGGCTCAGGGCAGGAGGCTCAGGACCCCACGGGGAAGGTGAGGGCTGCAGGCCCTGTTGGTGTAGAGGGTCCATGGCAGTAGCTGGGGAAGGCGGCTCCATGGGGGGCGCGGGCGGGCGGCCCAACGCGGTGGAGACACTGCAGGAGGAGGCCGTCTGTGCCATCTGCCTCGACTACTTCACCGACCCCGTCTCCATCGGCTGTGGCCACAACTTCTGCCGCGTCTGCATCACTCAACTCTGGGGAGGCGAGGAAGAGGGCGAGGGCCAAGCAGAGTACGAGGCTGCGGGGGACGACGTGGGGATGGGTGGTGAGGAGGATGACGTGGATGAGCTGGACGATGATGACAACGTAGAGTACAACGAGGAGGAAGAGGAGGGGGATGGGGATGACGTGGCTGAGGAGGAAGATGATATGTGGAGCGAGGAAGACGAGGACACCGACCTGTGGGACGACCCAGGGGAGGATGACATGTGGGAGGACGAGGTGGGAGATGAGCTCTTCTTCGAGGAGGACGATTACGATGAGGAGGTGATGGAGGAGGAGGACCTGGAGGAGGAGGAAGAAGAGCCGCTGCCACCGCCTCCCCCAGCAGCAGTGGCCACGCGACCTCGACACCCCCCAACTTTCACCTGCCCCCAGTGCCGCAAGACCTTCCCCCAGAGGAACTTCCGGCCCAACCTCCAGCTGGCCAATATGGTGCACATCATCCGACAGATGCACCCACACCCCCAGCGACTCGCATCACCAGCCGCTGGGACCTCGGCATCTGGGAGGTCTGGGAGTGTGGAAGGAGTGGCAGGGGGGCTGGAGAAAAGAGCCCTGTGTGAGAAACACCAGGAACCCCTCAAGCTCTTCTGTGAGGTGGACGAGCATGCCATCTGTGTGGTGTGCCGGGAATCCCGGAGCCACAAGCACCACAGCGTTGTCCCACTGGAGGAGGTGGTGCAGGATTACAAGGTATGAAGTCAGCAGCGTTGGTTTGGTAAAGGCTAGCTAGAGGCTGGTGGGTTGGGTTGAGTTGAGTTGGTTGCTTAACTGATGATAGTTGAGCGTGCATGGATCAGTGTTCACATTACACTCTCCATCAGTACCCAGCCCAAGCCAGGGAAGCTAATGGTCCAACCAGCAGACCAAATTCGGTGATGAATTTTGGTCACGTGCTACCCGAGGCATGTTGCGGCTACACTAAGAAGAAGTTGGGGGTTAGTTGGCTGGGAGGTGTTGGCTTGACCAGATGGTTTGAATAGGGGAGATTGCATTGGCTTGGTTTACAGAGGGATTGGGTTGGCAGTATGGCTTTGGTAAAGCTAGTTAGTGGCTGGAGTTATTGCGTTGCTTTAGTGAGGGAGTTGTGTTCACTTGGTGGCTGATGGTGGGTTGTGTGGTTGGCTGGGAGTTGCTGGCTTGATCAGGTGTTTACGCAGCTGGGTGTGATGGGGAGTTGGTTTGATCCGCAGTGGGATGGGATTGGCCGAATTGAGGCGTTTGGTAAGGCTGGTCAGAGACTGCTGGTGCTGGATTGCATTGGGATGGGCTAGATGGGAGCTGTTTGGTTGTTTTCCAGCTCCCACAGGTGTGTTTTCTGGGCCCTTCTCAGATCATAGGCAGCTTACATCAGGGGTGGGCAAACTATGGCCCAGGGGCCACATCCGGCCCTTCACATGTTTTGAGCCGGCCTTCGAGCTCCTGCCGGGGAGCAGGGTCTGGGGCTTGCCCTGCTCCACGTGTGCTGTGGCTCCATGCGGCTCCTGGAAGCAGCGGCATGTCCCCCCTCCAGCTCTTACGCTGGGGGCAGCCAGGGGGCTCCATATGTTGCCCCTGTCCCAAGCGCCAGCTCTGCAGCTCCCATTGGCCAGGAACCGCAGCCAATGGGAGCTGCAGGGGCAGCACCTGTGGAGGGGGCAGCGAGGAGAGCCGCCTGGCTGCGTCTCCACATAGAGGGGAGACATGCCGCTGCTTCTGGGAGTTGCTTGAGATAAGCGTCACCTAGAGCCTGCACCCCTGGCCCCCTCCTGTGCCCCAACCCTCTGCCCTAGCCCTGATCCCCTTCCTGCCCTCTGAGCCCCTTGGTCCCAGCCCAGAGCACCCTCCTGCACCCCCAGCCCCACCCCAGAGCCCGCATCCCCAGATGGAGCCCTCACCCCCCCCCGCACCCTAACCCCCTCCCCC